CCACACATTTGACAATAACAGGCGGAGAGGTCGTCGGTGATGACCAATAAAGACTTGTAGTATCTAAATCACCTATTGGAGACTCGCATCAACAACGAGACTTACGTCTAGTCGACTTTGTACTTAGAAAGGAACTAATAGGCTCAAATCATACGGCTCCCCAAGGTGAAGCTATAATTACGCGAAAAATTAGTTATCCGAATTCCCAGGTTGAAACTCAGTCAAATGCTGGGACAATAACCTCCACGTTATGGATAGTACAGACGTCAGTGAAACCACTCTCCCTTGCTTTGCACATCTGGCCTATACTTATAAGACCTCAACCAACATCCTTATTCCAGACTTGGCGAAATATATCGGTCTTGTAAGCCTTCATTCTTCGTACGGCACCGAAACTGCCTGCGCCTTATGAGTCTAACCAACATCTCTTTGGGACAGACCTGATACCCTCTATTTTCTTTTATCCGAACTATACACTTTCAGATACAGTAATAGATGCACCACTCTTCCCATACGAAGATTAGCTCCCTTCGCTCATAGTACGTTACACACACATTTGCTTTATTCGATGCTCCCGCTACATGTACCACGAGGGTGCGGAGGACATATTTTTTTGTCGCTTCATGTCACGGCCACACGGTCAATTTGCCCGCCCCTCTTTGTTTTTAACAATTAATACGATACTATTTTTATAAGAGAGACGTTGCGAGTAAACATTCCTCATGTAAATGTTTGTGCAACGTTTCTTATAGCCACCTTTAAAAGTCATATCGCGATGGTTACTACCTTTTTTGTCATCTATTGCTTTTCCACGATAAACTAAATTTCTTTGGATTTAGCTAATTTTGATACGCGGATCATCACTCCGTGATCTCCATTATTGTGATACATATCGCGAGCTTTAAAAGGTTTAGTCATCCTTGTCTCTGTCTTCAATACGCTGAGAGACGTTATATTAATTAACCAGCCGAGGATTCTATCACGAGACCAGCTCAGTATTACTAGAACTATGTGTTTCTCTTACGTCAGTCTCTTTCGGCTGATCTAGGGGTCACTCTATTACTTTCATTGATTAAAATCATAGACCTGGTCGAAAATCATTATTTGCAAGGTCATGTCCTCCTTTGATCGTAAGTACAGGATCAAATAAATAGTTTGTAATTCTGAGTATATTAATTTATGATCATTCCATTTTCTATTATAAAACAACTGAATGAATAGTACATATTTTACGCCGTTCTACGGCGACGTTCTTCTTCAAAAGCCTTTCATTATGACGCGCTCTTATGAAGCTTTCTCCAAAAGATGCTCCTTCGGTTTTCACATATTGTTGTTCAAGCTAGCGGTTCTGTCTTGCGGGCTCGCCTCTCAGTTCTACAGGTGCTTCTAGTTGTGCGTTGTTTTCAGTCCGCTGTTCCTATTTTTTCAAACCTGCTGGACCTGTAACATGTTTGCTTCCATCTATTCTGTCAACTTACGAATCCTATACTATGTGTCGGTTTTAATTTAGGTTGTAGTTGCGATTATATTCCAACAATTAACTCTTGACAATTTCCTCCTTTATCGATGGGATAATTTTACTTAGTTCTTCTCACACTTACTCTTGAATTTGTCTTTTGTATACAAACATTAGACACTTAATCACGCCTGAAGAGATAAATCAAGTTTTCCGTCAACGTTTGCTTCTACAGAAGTAACACACCAGCAATTATTCCTTGCCGGAGAGGGTTTCCTATTCCTTATTTTCCTTGTGACACTATTAGCATATAAGTCACGCTCCATGAACTCATTTCGCACGTTCCAGGTTAGTCTCGTTGATTTGTCCTCCCAGCGGTCTTAAGCTACTCTGAAACGTGTAGCACTCAATCATTGGCCTAGTCTTCTTGGTGGCTTCTGACTCACGAGACACAGATTTAATTACACAGTTTTTGAGTTATGTTTTGACACCTACATTGTCTATATGCGCACATAATCCACTTTGTATGTGAGTGGCGTCTCTGGCGGAGAACCTCAGTAAATCCACTATAATGACATCAGGAATCGTCACATTTTCCAAGAACAAAACTGATCAGGTTTGGTTAAGTTATTGGACTTTGGTTGCGATTCATGTTTAATGGCTGTTTTGAGTATTGCACTACAGTTTCACTTAGGCTAAGAGTTGTACATTTGAACGATTTGTTGTTGATTATTATGTTTAATACCATACATAACTAATTCATAGAACAGATTGGATATACGTTTACATAATCTTAATAATTTATATACATAGTAATGGTTATATTCTGGTATAGTTATTATGTTATATATTATTATATAGGTTTGAATATAGAGATGTATAGATGTATAATATAAATATTTCATCAACGGAGACTGCTTTATTATCTATTTCCAGCTTTCTGAGTTCAACAGAATGCGCTCATTAGCGGACTGCATGAATCAAATCATCGCAGTTTTATATTTTCAATAATTGCTCCAGAGAAACACTTGCCTCATCGTTATTTTTCTGCTTTTTGGATGTTGCAGTTCTCAACTTTAGTTAAGATATTCAGTTCGTAGGTAATCCGCCCTGAATAATAACTACAATAGTAGTAAATAACTGAGTTATGTGGTGATATCATTTTACTACTGTAGTTCGATTATCCATAAATAAAGTTAGTACATAATAATAGTAACTATTTTATGCTAATTTATTAAATTCTATATTAAGATATTGTCATCTTTAGCGAATACCAATAACATCGCAAGAATATTTAATTATCTAATCATGTGTAACTAAACATTTTTGGCAGATTTCGAGAATATTTTAGCAACACAACTCTGCATTAAAATATATTAATGTTACATTTTATTTATACAGATTGTACATGGGAAAAAATAATACACAGCTAAAACTAAATATGTTATCTAATCTATTATGTTTATACTAACTCAGTAATAGAATTGTCGAATGAATTGCGACAGTGATTCAGTTACACATACAGGTTTAAAAATTTCATTTCTGACATTTCTCTTTCCTTTCCTTTCGATTTTTGCATATTGACTTCCGCTATGTAATCCATTTTAAACCAGCCAAGCTAAAATCTCATTTTGTGCTTTGAAAGTGTTGTGAAGTGAAATGTTTAATGTGAATTGAAATTTAAAATGTGTATCATGCATGAAGAAAAAATGTTTCGTAATAGCAAAATGTATAGCTTTATATGGTTTAGTCAAATTGTGTATCAATTGATGCTTTGATTTAACAAAAGTAATCAATGCCAGCAAAATTATTCTCTAGTGATTGAAGCGAACCGCACAACTATAATCTTGTGAATCACAAGAACTAGTGAACCGAATCAGTGAACCAAATGAATCGGTGGCACCCTAAACTCCGGATCAACCAGTTCTGTCGAGAGATTCAGCCGGGGCTTGGGGCCGGTTAGTAAATGTACATAGCAGCGTTGCTAGACTATTTTACGTAGAGTTACCAGAGACTTAGTTGAAAAAAGCAGGATCATTCGGTTGAAAAATCTGGACATTACACAAAACATCAGGATATTTTCATGACATACAGGTACAGTTTTTGTACTATTACAGAAGAGAGATCAATTTATACTGTAATTCTACACTATACGGTAAATCATTACTACGGCAGCTTTATGATTAAGGATTCTTCCTATCTCTGTTTCAATATAAGAATAAGACATACCTATTATTCTTATAGTTAGATACCTCTAATATCACTATTTTATCTAAAGCAGTTTTCTCTTTTGAATATTTATATTAAAATATTAAAATTACAATAAACAATAAATAGATGACGCAGACTAAAACATCAGGAATTTTGAATACAAATCAGGTCAGTCAGGACCAGATCCAAAAATAAGGATATATCCCGACAAATCAGGACGTCTGGTAACCGTATTTTAGTCTGAGTGGTGAGTTCCAAAAAATATTAATGAAAAGGCGTGATTTGTTTGGAAAAAGCGGGGCGAAACAAATAACCAAAAATAAGTAAAATTTTAATTTAAGTATCAAAACATACACACACACACACACACATATATCATTTATACCGCCGACAAATCCAAACTATCCAAAGAATTAAAATCGTTACTCATGACCAAACAAAGCGTGAAGAAATAACGGCATAAAAGTAAAGTACAGTTTATTTTCCAAGTAGAATGTTTGAGATAGCCAATATGCTAAGGGAGCACACAACGTTTCGTTAAAAATGAACAGCGAGCTGGGATCTGTAAGGGCGTCGACACCGCTATGTCGAGAACCTACTCACCAGATAATCCGACTCAACTGCTACTGTCGTTGAGATTTCTTTCGCGTGCTTTTTTCGTTTCTTGTTGTATTTGTTTTTTTTTTTTTTTTTTTAATTGGGCCATTCAAATTGAAAGATATCACAAAAGTGTGATTGGTCTATACCGCGCGGCACAATTTTTGTCTTACAAAGTGGGACGTCGCGCCAAAAGTGGGACATCTGTCAACGCAGGTACATAAGGCTATGGGTTCGTAATTCATGTACCATGAACTTCCACTTGTATTTAAGGCGTGGGGGGCATTTTGCGTCCCTCGCGTATTACGTTTATTCCAATATCCTTCCATGATCCCTTGGCCTGACAGGCAACTGCGAAATCTGTTTATTCGAGGAACTGCGTCCTGAAGTCAGAACAATGGTACAAGCACTGAGGTGGGGCTAAAGGAAGACCGTGCACAAATATTTAAAGGTACAGGATCGAGATAGGTGTACGTGATTTCCGGGGTTCGCGAAGGAACTCTTCACTACATTCCAGAGGTGCTCGCTAGGTAATGCGAGTGGCCCTGGTAGGTTTTTAAATGCGAAAGAGAACAGGTAACTATTATGAGGAATACTGCTCCCTTCTGAGTTACCACTAGTGTATACATGTTATTATACGTCTTGATACATGTACGCTGACATATGCTAAATAAATAAAAAACGTACATAAATAAATAGAATGCAGAGTCAGCCAAACATATTTATTAAAGTACATTTATCCCATTGAGAAAGTTATTTGATAGCAGCCCAAGGGTTGGCCGTTGTGCGTTGCGTTAACTTGTACACCATAAGAACCGCTGAAGCTGGAGATGAGAGAAGCGTCGAAGGGAATTTCCGTGCGAGACACGTCGTAACTTCCCTGAGAACAAACAAGAAATATCTCATCATTCTGACAAATTGCTTTGCTTATTTTCTTCAACCAAGGGGATGCATGTTAGATTTATTTCTAGCTCGCTATGCAGCAAGCTCGCAGAAACGTTCTGAAGAATTTAACACCTTAATCCGTAAATGGCATACGAGTATTACATTTGACTAACTCTCATTTGGAAATATGTCATTTTGTGGACACATTTACCAAATAGTGAGAGAAATAGGAAACAAAAAGCAGTTTTTATATAATAGAATACATGTTTTTCCTGAAATAAAAACCAATAAAAAGGCTCATGGACTTAAAATTACATAGAAGTAGGATAGAAAAAACATTATTAAAAATAAAGTGGATTTATAGATTAGTAGCCTGTAACAGGGAAAACGTTACAGAACAAAACCACTCAAAATACTTCTCCAAAAAGTAGTTCGCACACTGTTCAAGAACAACAAGTAATACTTTTATAACACTGCCACAAATTAAATCTTTCAACATAAGCTGACTTAAGAAACTCTGAATTAACATAGTTTAGTATATATTGTTACCACCTGTTTTTCATAAGTAAAGGGAAAAACGTGGCCCATTCCTCTTACCACAAAGAGGAAAGAGAGTTTGAAAGACACGTGTCTAGTGTCGCCAGGTAATAAAAGAGTACACTTTTGTCGCGAGTAGGCAATGCAACAGCCAACCAGCGAAAAGCGTTTTTTCACTACAAAGCAGCCGAACGGAAAGGTCGTGTTCCGTAGCACAGAAGGACGGAGAATCTTAGCAACAAACACGGGCGGCTCCCGGACGGACTACAGAAACTCTTCGAAGACAACCTGAAGAGGTAAATTAACTTTATATTAAGGTTAATATAATTGAAGAGGTATATTAAATATACATAAATGTGAAGGTATAACACACTTGTAGAAGGAAGAGTGCTTAATGAAATTATAACGTAACGTAATGAAAGCAAGGAGCACGTGCATTAAACTTATCAGTGAAACGGCGACGAAACCCTGGAGATTGAGTGTAACAAATAAGGCCGACACCTCGTCAACCCGCTGGAGAATTCAAGTGAGAGCAAGCCAATGAGGATTCTCTTATTATTTGAAACTCAAATTGGGACGACATCTCGTTAACCTGCCGGAGAATTGAAGTAAGAGCAAGATAGTGAGGATTCTCTTATTATTTGAAACCCAAATAGGGCCGACGACGTCTCGTTAACCTGCCGGAGAATTCAAGTAAGAGCAAGCCAGTGAGATTCTCTTATTATTTGAAACCCAAATTGGGACGACATCTCGTTAACCTGCCGGAGAATTCAAGTAAGAGCAAGATAATGAGGATTCTCTTATTATTTAAAACCGAAATAGGGCCGACGACGTCTCGTTAACCTGCCGGAGAATTGAAGTAAGAGCAAGCCAGTGAGGATTCTCTTATTATTTGAAACCCCAATAGGGCTGACGACGTCTCGGTAACCTGCCGGAGAATTGAAGTAAGAGCAAGCCAGTGAGTATTCTCTTATTATTTAAAACTCAAATAGGGCTGACGACGTTTCGTTATCCTGCCGGAGAATTGACGTAAGAGCAAGCCAGTGAGGATTCTCTTATTAATTGAAACCCAAATAGGGCCGAGTAATGCAACAATTGTATTAGAAAGAACCTATTATTAAAGAGATGAATTCCTAATTATGAATCAATCAAACTTTCTTCCTTAATGTAAAAAAAAGAAATCCTTGTAATGTAATATTTTCTCGTATAATAGAAAAGGTCATAAGCAAACAGTCAGAGAAAAATGTACAGTAAATGTTAGCTTTTTCTTCCAGGAAAATTTCATTGAAAAGTTATGAGTGTATTATGTAACTGAGACAGAAGCATTTAAAAGAGATTATAGTATACGAGTATTTTGTTAAAAAGATACACTTGTTTAATTTGAATGATTGTGACTGTTGGTGCATTGACCCCCAAATTGTTTCAAATTTGACGCCTCGTTTCAAATAAAGCACCTTTGATGTTCTTTGAAGGCGTTACTCAAAAAAGCCGCGTGAATTTCTTCCTGGTTGAGCAAATACTCACTTCTTTTGTACAAAGTTCCTTGACGTAGATTGTCAACTGTTTCCTGTTCGGAGCGTCACCGAAAGATTGCATCAGCTCCTGGACAGCCCCACGTAAAATATGCCATTGTCAAAATTCGGGTAACCCAGCGATTTCCACCTCAGACGCCACGACTTATCGCCAGCTCTCATTGTCATCAGAGGCACTGGATGCAGTCGTAACATGAAGTAAAAACGACGAAACTTGTAAAGAAACTTTTGATTTCGTCTGGACAGAGGTAACAGTGACAATCTCTTCAATACTCGTTATTTCTTTCTCCAAGTAACAATATTTGTCAATTGTGTGTCGTTTCCTTCCCATAACACTCTTGTATGATGAAAAAGTCGATGGAAGAGGCGATGTTTCGTTGCAACTTCTACTAATTGCTCTCCCAACTTATCCTACGAGTATTTCGCAGCCTCAACAGTGACAGTCCTGTTTCTGCAGAGAATTCACTTCCCTGAGACACCCTGAAAGATTCATTGTACTTATATAAAAAGTTATGGTTATAATATACAGTAGAACAGTTGTTTACAGACCAAAAAATAAAGAACTCTGCTCCACAAGTGCAACATCTAAAAAACAAGTATTGAATGGAAGGCGGCCCTTCCGGAGAGCCTTGCTGTTGCTTGACGTCAGCTGTACCGTAAGCAGTGACGAACTGAGTTTGAGAATTCAGTCAGCAAGCGCAGTGTGAGAATAGGTGGAATAATACAAGGACACCAGCCTAATCGTAACTTCATTTCGGAGTTCTTAATTATCTATTACGACACAGGTTACATAGCTGGGGCTGCAAAGTTTTCCTACAATTTCTCGTATTGGAAATAAACAGGTTAGATTTGTTTAAATAAATATATTTGCCGAACGAAGTGTCTCAGTGCGTAGCCTGATCAGCCCGTAGTAGTTCGTAGTTCGATCCCCGGGCCGGCCTTTCTTACTGGGGTTCTCGTGGTTGCCCTTGGTCACAAGGTAAATACTGTAATGGTTCCAAAAACCCATGAACATATTCCTCCTCCCACTACCCCACCTAATACCCCCATCATCCTAGTCCTTTCACCCCTCATCATCACCCTATAATAATAATACTAATGAAATGATGAAAATAATAATAATAATAATAATAATAATAATAATAATAATAATAATATCCTATTTCCTCCAATTGATATTCAGGGCTAACAACCTTGTCTTAACCAGGGGATACAGCCGAAAGGCTAATTCACATAAATCCATACGTTCTTTCTAGGATAGAATACAACTGGGCCTCGGAGAGAGAAATGTGTAGGGTGGTCAGTAGTGGCCCATACGCGAATAATAATAATAATAATAATAATAATAATAGTAATAGTAGTAATAATAATTTTTACTTTCACCCCCTTACATACGTAAAAAGAGGAAGTATTGTAATCGTGCGCCGGAAAAGGGAGCAAAGGGGGTAACGAAATAAGTTAGAACTGCTCCCAGGGGAGAAACCTTTTTGTTGAAAATCGTAATTTTAAAGTAAAAAAAAACAACAACAGTTTTCGGATTTACCTGGAGAACTTCGTACAAACGAAAAAAAGTGTTTTTAGTTTGTAATATGTTTCAATTTTTTTAACCACACCCCTATGAATAAAGACTTTTATTATTATTACAATTTTTTATAGATGATGAAGATGTTTCGAGAATTGTCCCTTACAATCAACAAAAAAGTAGGGGGGAAAACGTTTTCCTTCGTTTTTAAGAATATCTCAGGTTCTGACGACAGTGTCCCAAAATTTCAACCGTGTATCTTATAAATTGCTTAATATAAATAAAATAGTAATGTAATAGTTTATTTTTTGTCTTAAAATTAGGTTTTGTTTTATTTACTTTCATAGTTTTTCTTTTTATTATATTATTAGAAAAGATAAATAACGAAAAATAAAATTGTAAGAGTAATAGTATAACCTGTTGTCATTTGAATATTGAACAAATTAAGATTTTAACCAATAATAAAGAGTCGAGATCTTGGCTGTAACGCCGCGACGAAGGCCGGTTTGCCGACGTTTTGACCATCTTCATGTGGTCTTCCTCAGGGCTGGTTTACGCCGGAGTGGTGCTAATTGCACTGTTTAATATGACAGAGTTCATTTTGGGGTATTATTTTGATTTTTCAAAAATTACACAAACGTAATTTTTTTGAAATATCTCTCAGGCTATTTATGTGCATATTTCCAGCAATTTACAAAAACTATTGCATTTTTGAGTGAAAGTGCTTCAAATTACTTCAAATGTAGTTTTTCTAAAAGTAAAAAAATCTGAGAAACAGAGTTTAAATTTCGCTTTTAAATAAACGCTTAAACACCATTTTCTTAAAAACGGCTCCAAATGTTTTAATGAAAATTGCCATTTATGATGATATTTTACTTTTCTTTAATATTCTTAAAGTAATGTTTCAGTTCAACTATTAGGAAACCGAGAAATTGAAAAAATGTAAAAGAAAATGTACTTTGTGCGACGATACATGCCGTCAGGCAAGAGGATGGGGCAAGATCGTAAAGCCAGTCCAGACCAAGAAAAATAAAAAATTTTACTATGAGAAAGTCTGTGTCATTATGTGACGCCACTAGTTATGATCTGCGTCAGGACGTGAGATATTCTTAAAAACCGAAAGAAAAAGTTTTTCCGCCCTTTTCTTGTTGACTGTAAGGGCCAAAATTGGATATAAACGCCTTAAAAAATTCTTGAAGCATCTTTATCATCTACAGAAAATCCCAAGAATATTTAAAGTCAATATTGTACCTGAGTTTGAATGTACGCTGACTCCTATGATACTACTTGATAGTATACAGACTCCTACTTGATAGTATACTGACTTCTATTTGTCAGCGGATTTTAATGAATACCATTTTTTCTTTTAACTTTAGAACAATCCCTTTCCGTAAGAAGAGAAAG